TTTTTCTATATACTTTTAGTTGGCCAATTGATTTCTTTCTATTTTTAGTAGAGACAGGGTCTCCCTCTTGCTCAGGCTGGTTTCGAATTCCTGACCTTGAGCCATCCTCCCACCTGGGCCTCCCAGAGGGCTAGGATTATAGGCGTGAGCCACCGCACTTGGCCTCAAAGAGCAATTTTATATCTGAAAAGTACAGAAATGACAGTGAGACTTCTGATTAAGTTAGAATTTTCTGTTTTCAGTTTCTGTGCTTTAAAAATATAGATATTATTAGTAAATTATAAAATGGGAAAATTAAAAAGGCATAACCAGTTCAAAACCAGACACTCATCTCTGTGGATCAGAGACTACATAGAAACACAGTGTGGTAGAAAGAAATAAAGTTGTAGGCTTGCTGTGCTCCAGTCTGAAAACAGGCAACACAGATCACAGATTCATAGTACAAGGAGCCAGAGCCAGATTCACTTCTTAAAACTGGAAGCTAGGACAGGGCATCTCTTGAGCATGAAAGGAAGGTGAAGAAGTTTTAGCCAGCTGTTACCTAGAGAAAATATTCATATAAAACTCTACACCTACAGCATCAAGTGGAATAATCTATAGCTTTGCTCCTTATTCTTTGCCGAACTGGTGTTAGAGTCAGTGACTGGATCTTCAACACAATGAGAAGCACAGAGCTATAAATATAAAGTCTAGTTCTGACCAAAAATGCCTAGAAGGTGAGAGAGAACAGCCACAAAAGTACTGGATAGAAAAAAAATTAAGCATAAAACAAATAAAAAAAAAAGTCCTGTAAACTACCATATAAAACAGGAATGCACAAAATTCAAGATACTTAGGAAAAAAAGGCAAGGTAAGTACAAAATCAGTAAGTAGGAGATGGATTCACATCTGACAAAACAATGAGGCAACCTAAAAATGACTTTTAAGGGGAAAGATTTATACTATCTGAAGAGAAACCAGAGTATTAAAAAAATGACTTTTAAAAAGTATGTTTAGGATCCCAAAAGACCCAAAGGAGGAAACCCCCCCACACACACACACACGAATGCAAAGAAACTATAAAATAAAAACACAAGGCCGGGAGTGGTGGCTCATGGCTGTAATTCTAGCATTGTGGGAGGCCGAGGCTGGAAGATTGCTTGAGGCCAGGAGTGCGAGATCAGCCTGAACAACATAGGGAGACCTTGTCTCTATAAATAATTTTTTAAAAAATTAGCTGGGCGTGGTGGTGCATGCCTGTTATCCCAGATACTCAGAAGGCTGAGGGAGGAGAATAGAATGGTTTGAGCCCAGGAGTTTGATAGTGCAGTGAGCTATGAATGATGATGCCACTGCACTGTAGCCCAAGCAACAGAGCAAGACCCAGTCTCAAACAAAAAAAAAAAGAAAAAAAAAAAAAAAACCAACTAAAAATAACCTAAATATGCCATAAAAAAGGGAAGGGCTATGGAAACTGTGATCTGGCTACATGATGAAACATTCTGCATCCACTGAAAACATGAGGACCATGCGAACTATGGGGGAAAGTTATGGTATATACAAAGTAAAAAAAAAAAAGTTCAAATACAAAATAAAGTTATTTGTATAATAATTATAATGACATAAACAAAAGATATGACTGTAGACACAGAGAGAAAAGGAATTCAGTTGGGTTAGAAGAATGGAGTTATATTTGTTTCCCTTCTTTTTGATTGTGGTAAAACATAATACAATAATATTTGCCATTTTAACCATTTGTCCATGTTCAATTCAGTATCATTAAATACCCTGGCAATGCTGTATAACCATCACCACTATCTATACCCAAAACACTTTCACCATCCTCAACATAAACTCTCTACCTATAAAACAATAATCCTCTATTCCCCTTCCCCCAGCCCCTGGTAATCTCTATTCTACTTCCATCCCCATGAATTTGTCTATTCTCAGTTCCCATATAAGTGAAACAACAGTATTTGTCCTTCTATGTCTGGTTATTTCACTTACATAATTTCAAAATCCATCCATCTTGTAGCATATATCAGAATTTCACACCTTTTTATGGCTGTATAATATTCTACTTTATGGATATATCGCATTTTATCTATCCATTTGTTTATTGATGGACATGGCTGTTTCCACCTTTGGCTATTGTGAATAATGCTACTATGAACAATGGAGTACAAATAACTGTTCGAGACCCTGCTCTCAATTCTTTTGGATATATATATATACCTCGGGACTAGAATTGCTAGATCATGTGGTATTTGTTTCCCTTTTTAAAAAATGCCTTTAATGCGGTTAAATTGATTGTTCCCAATAAGAATGACAGCTATTCAATCATAGAAGGTAACCCTGTAAGAGTCTAGGGCCTTACTTATAACCATTCTTGACTTCCATTCAATGGGCCCAGTCACAGGCTATAGTAAGGAGATGCCTTCTCCTCATGAACACTGAACTACTTTGCAGCTGCATCATGTCAAAGTGTCACACAACCAGATGGAGGACAGCCCAACACCCTGTGACCCTGGGTCAGTTACAAAAGCTCACAGAGCCCCCACTGCCTACTCTGTAAAACAGAGATGATTGATTATAGTACCTACCCCATGAAGTTGTGTTAACATTCTTTAAATACAGTATGAGAGCACCCAACAATGTGTAGACCCCCAATCTATTATATTATTATTATTATTAATATTATTATTACATTAAACTCTGGGTATTAGCAAGTCACACAACATCAAGGGTTCCCCAAAGTGATGATCCTCTTATTAAACATTCTTAATAAGAAGGAAGAAACATCTATTGATACCAAAATGCTCTCTTAATAGTCTCATCTGTGTGTTGAATTTCATCTGAGGGATGCATTTTAGCAGTTCCCTTACTTTGGAAACGGATCCCATAAGTGACTATCAATGCCTAACCCAAGCAGCAGAGCTGAAGAAACCTACCTAAGGAGAATCTCAGAAGCCCAACTGATTTCATGTATGTCTTAAGGAATCTGTCTCATTTCTTTTTTCTCCCTTCTGTATAAAGCATTTCAATTCTCTTGCAATCAAAGATCAAGGAATACTGCATGTCTTTCAAACTTTCCCAAAAAATGTTTTTCAAATTTTAAAAACAAAAATAATGAACATCAACTCCCTAGGAATTCTGAAAAGTTTTTCCCATTAGCCCAGAAATAATTCAATGATTTAAACTATTTTGTGAAATAATATGATGAAATGCATCATAATGAAAAACTGTACATAGCCAACCCACCCAACAATAGAGGAGTAGTTCATTTACAACACTTCTAGAGCAGAGGTTCTTAAACTTTTTAGTCTCAGGATCCCTTTAACTTCTTAAAAATTATTAAAGCTCTCAGAGGATTTTTGTTTATGTAGGTTATAGCAATATTTACTGATTACAAATTCAAAATGAGGACATTGTGAAAACATAAGAATACACAACATGCATTTCATCAGCCATGATGCTGTCTGTCCTAGAGCCCCTTGAAAGAATCTAGGGGATACCCCGGGGATCCCCGGACCACACTTTGGCAACCACCAATCTAGCCCAGGGGTCAGCTAACTTTCTCTGTAATGGCCAGAGAATAAATATTTCAGCCTTTTACGAGCCATGCATTCTCTTTTGCTACTACTCAATTCTAGCACAAAAGCAGCCACAGACAGTGCATAAACAAATGAGCACGGTTGTGTTCCAACACAACTTTATGTACAAAAACAGGCAGCAGGCCAAATCTGGCCCATGGGCCGTTATATCTGCCAACTCAGATTTAGACAATGGAATTCCAGGCAGGTGTCAAAATTATCCTACAGACATATTTATATTGACAAGAAAAAATACTCATAATAAACTAGTATGTAGGAAAAAATCAGATTTAAAAAGAACACACACTCAGGATGACCTGAATGCTTGTAAAAGAATATGTTATATGTATATGCCTTAAAATTATAAACCATCATATACCAAAAGTTATCAGTCAATTATCTCTGGTTGATGGTTTCCAGATGATATATTTTACTTTTGATTGCCTGTACTTTACATACTGAATATGCATTACAGTTATGACATATTTTAAAGATTTTTCTTAGGAAATTAAAACAAAAATAATATTTGAGAAATGTGACGTTTATAAATTATACTGATTTCTTTTAAGAAACATGATCGTTTGATAGAAAAGCCTATTTACCTACCAGTTCTGTTGTAAACTGTTTGAGATGCCCCTTCGGTCCCATTTGGTCCTTGTGGAAATATTTCAAAACGATATTTGGTTCCAGGGTACAAGCCATCAATGATAATACTTTGGTTGGTGGTTGTTTTCACCCAAGATGTTCCAGCTCCATCCTGTGTGATGTTTATCTTGAAGGAATGAGTGTCATTGCTGCTCCAAGCTAAGCCAATTTCCCTTGTGCCAACCATTGTCACTCGAAAGTCGGCAACTGGACCAGGGGCTGTGGGAAGAAAGTAAATGACTAGATTTAGAATCTATTTCTGCAGAAGATACAGATGACAAACCTCACAAAATATTTATACTGACATTAAATGTACACTTAGGACACCTGATCTCTCTTTTTCTCCTCTTTGTATAATTACCTAAAACACACACCCTTCAGAAACTGGTGCTTGTGGCCATGGACGGAGCGCTCGGCCACAAGTGTGCAGAAACCGGGTGCTTGAGTTGTACAGAGTCCTTCACAGGCAATGCGAGGAGGCGTGGGTCCCCACGGTCAGGGCCAGGCTCTGGGGGAGAACCTCGGCAGCTGTCGGCTGCTTTACCTTGAACGCAGTACGGAGCCTGCAGAGCCTCTGTTCAGGGATGTGGGGCAGAGGCTGCACTCAACTCCCAAAATCCATTCCCCCTTTTTCCTTCATCACACACCCCGGGAATTTTAGCCACGTAAAAGGCTGTTGGGAATAAAGAAAACAGTTCCCAGCCTCCCTTGCAGCTAGATGTGACTAAGAATGCGAGCAGAAGTACACGGGACTTCCAGGAAGTATCCTTAAAGGGTGGGGCGAGACCTGCTGCCCTTCTTCCCTCTTACAGCTGGAACATGGACGTGATGGCTGGAGCTCAGGCTGCCTGGCCCAGAACCAACACCACTGCAGTGACTGCAGCTTCCTGATCCCGGCTCACAGCTGAAAACACGTTCCTGGATCCAGCAAGCCACCACTGATTGCTCACTCTGCTGTCTGTGACAACGGTGGTGGCTCTCCAGGGTGGTCAGTTCTGCAGCCTTAGTATGGGAGTCATTTCTGGAGGACTAAAGTCTGCTCCTAAAGTCTGCTCCTCAGCTGTCATGGGTTGAATTGTGCCCAGCTCCCAAAATTCATTAAGATGAGGGGATGGGGACACAGACACGCACAGACTGAAGGACAACCATGTGAAGACACAGGGAGAAGACAGCCATCTACAAACCAAGAGGAGAGGCTCAGAAGAAACAAAACCTGCTGTTACCTTGACCTCCAACTTTCCAGCCTCCAGAACTATGAGAAAATATATTAATATTTCTGTTGTTTCAGCCACCCCATCTGTGGTACTTGTTATAGCAGCTGCAGCAAACTAATACACCAGCCCTTCCAAAGACTCGATAAACACTCAATTTTTAGGACAAGCCCCTTTTGGCTTAAAATAGCTATATAGTTCCTATTTCTTGCAATTTCCTTTTTTTTTTTTTTTTTTTTTTAGGCTAGAGTGAGTGCCGTGGCGTCAGCCTAGCTCACAGCAACCTCAAACTCCTGGGCTCAAGCGATCCTCCTGCCTCAGCCTCCCGAGTAGCTGGGACTACAGGCATGCGCCACCATGCCCGGCTGATTTTTATATTATATATATTAGTTGGCCAATTAATTTCTTTCTATTTTTATGGTAGAGACCGGGTCTCGCTCAGGCTGGTTTTGAACTCCTGACCTTGAGCAATCCGCCCGCCTCGGCCTCCCAGAGTGCTGGGATTACAGGCGTGAGCCACCGCACCCGGCCCTTTTTTTTTTTTTTTTTTGAGACAGAGTCTTACACTGTCACTCCAGGTAGAATGCAGTGATGTCTTGATAGCTCACTGTAACCTCCAGTCCCTGGGCTCAAGCAATCTTCCTGCCTCAGCCTCTCGAGCAGCTGGAACTACAGGCGCACACCACCACACCCAGCTAATTTTTCTATTTTTAGTAGAGAGGGAGTCTTGCTCTTGCTGAGGCTGGTCTCGAACTCCTGAGCTCAAGTGATCCTCCCGTCTTGGCCTCCCAGAGTGCTAGGATTACAGGCGTGAGCCACTGCGCCCAGCCTGTTTCTTGCAACTGAACCCTGGTTAACACTCTACCATCCCCATCCTGCCTAGTATTGGGCTTCTGTTGTAGGTGAGAGAAATAAAATCATCTTATTTAAGCCACTGATATTTGGAGGTTTGGAGGGTTGTTATAGTTGAATCTAATACTAAATAATAGAGATACTAAATAGGAAGAAAAGTAAAAGGTGAAGAAATGAAAACAGACTTCATTTTCTCCAAAAAGCCCCCAAAATACATCTGTAAGAGTACTTAAGGTGTACTTTTTCAGAAGGAACAGACATTTGAGTAAAGCATTCTCATGGGTTGAGTCTGGGTCCAGAGCCAGGTACCCTGGGTTTCAACTACCTGCTCACCACGTACGAGCTCTATGGCCCTGGACAAACTGTTCAGCCATGCTGGCTCTAGTGTTCTCATCTGTAAAAGGGGGACCCTATTCCCTACCATGGAGGACACTGTGACACTGTGACACAGTTCCTGGTACTGCACAAAAGGCATTGCTGGTGTCGATGCTATTGATGAGTAGTAAAATTAATGTTATATTACTGTATTACCAGGACATCATTACTATCTTATTTTACGTTATCAGCCTTCTTTGGAACAGAAGGCTTTTTATTTGCTGCCAAAAGTTTTATCTTTTAGAGACATTTAAGCAAACAAAGGATGAGACATATAGCTGTGCCACTGGGTCATTATAATGTCAGCGTCCAAGGGACAAAGAGACATGAATATCCAGGTTCTTTTTTGTCTCCCTGTATCAACTCCCACTACGTCTCTGTCACACTAGAATGACTACAAGCACAGGTTTACTCTCATCTCTGCCACTTAACAAGGTGTGACACCTGCCTACACCACTTCTCTTGGCCTTGGCTTCCTCATGCACAAAATAAGGCTGATGCCAACCACGTCACAGGGTTGGCGTGGGCATTCAGGGAGACAGTGCATGGAAAGCACGTCACACGGGGCTCCGCGTGTGGTTAGGGTCAAGCAAGGATCACCATTATTATCTCACACGCCTTGAAGGGGGTGAGAGCCCATGCGGGCCACACACTGAGCTGGACCTTCCCAGAGGGCAGGATCAGAGCTTCTCTGTCCCGTATCTGGGCCTGGCGCGCAGTAGGCCAGCAAGGAAGGTGAGCCAGAGCAACGGGTGAACTCACGGGTGTACACTTGGAGGAAGCCCGGTGTGCCCTCGGCGTCGCCCAGGACAGCGCGCACCGTGACGTTGTAGAGGGTGCTCGAGCTGAGTCCAGAGATGACGGCGTGCGTCTCACTGACGGTCTCATTGAGACAGAAGGACGTGTCCTCCCCAGCCACGTGTATCTCATAGGTATAGACGGAGGACGACTCATCGTCACTGATTTTCCAGGTCAGGGTCATGCTTGTGGCACTGATGTTCACAACTGTGACGTCAAAAACCACACTGGCATCTGTGAGGACACAAGAGGAGTTAAAAAGAACCACAACGGCCATGAGAGACACAGAAAGAGAGGTGGTCTCCAGAGCATGTCATCGAGGCTGAGAAACACTCTTAGGGATTGTTGCTTCCTGCTCTCCACCACCTGACCACGCTGGAGAAGCGTGCGGGTCCAGCCAAAGTCGGTGGTGAAGAAACAACCTGGCCTACCGCACCTACACGGTTACTCTTTGTCCTTTTCTGTGAGTTGACTCGGAGATACGATGGGCTCATAATCAAACAATAATGTGGACTCCATGCGTGCCTTGCTCTAGGGGCGTGACCCAGAAAAATCCCCAAGCATAAATCCATCCCAGAACAAACACTATACATCTGCAGTCCCCAACCCCTAAGCTTCGGAGGGGTACCAGTCTGTGGCCTGTTAGGGACTGGGCCACAGAGCCCCGCCACCCTCTCCCCTTGTCCCTTGGTCTGTGAGCAGCGGTGGGCATATTTACTTACCGTCCCTCCCCATGGCTCACATGACTGCCTGGGCTCCGCTGCCCTCCCCCCTCTACCGTGGAAAAATTGTCTTCCATGAAACCAACTGGTCCCTGGTGCCTAAAAGGTTGGGGACCACTGCCATACATGATCAGTTAAAATTGCAGGCTTCACCGTGGAGCAGGTCTGGGCTCCAAGCCTAGCTGTGCTTTAACAGCCAGCTGGGCCAAGGAAACCCAAATGAGCTCCTCACCTATAAGATCAGGACAGCAAGCCTAACCTCAAGACATGATACCATGAGAGTGCTGGTATTCTCCACCTGCACGTCCTCCCATCCCACGCTCTGCCCCTCCCTTGCCTGCTCTGTGCCCAGGAGGCTGGCCCGGCACACGGCATCACCGGAGCCTTGCCACATGGCTGTGACCAGGTCCCACCAGCCAGCCACGCGGACAGGTCACTGGAGGGCCAGGAATTGTGGTCAGCGTCCTCTTCCACCACCTCCCACTCTGGGCTGCGTCCCCTCCCTCCCCAGCTCTTCCCATGCTGTCCCCTCGCCTGCTGCCCTAGTGGGGCCTTCTGCCACCACCAGTCTTAGGTGCCTCAGCAACACTGATGGTTCCCTTAATGTTGCCCCACCTAACTAGTCACTTGAAAGATGCAGGGCTTTCTCTGCGTGCATATGTGTCTGTCTGTCTGTCTGGTCTGTCCAATAATGGACTGAATGTATATGTCTCCCCAAAATTCATATGTTGAAATCCCAACCCCCAGTGAGATGATGGCGGGAGGTGGGGCCTTCAGGGGGTAATTAGTTCACAAATTTCCTCCCTCGTCGGGGCACTCATGAAGGGGATTAGTGCCCTGATCAAAGAGGCCTCAGAGAGAGACCTTCCCCTCGCCCCCTCAACGGTGTGAGGACACGGGGAGTGTGCAACTCAGAAGGCCCCCAAGAACCCAGCCATCCTGGCCCCCCAATCTCAGACTTCAGCCTCCAGAACTGTGCGAAATAAATGTTTATTGTTTATGCCATCGTGTTTATTGTTTATGCCATCGAGTCTACAGTAATTTGTCATCCCAGCCCAAACTCGCTAAGAGACACACACATTCAGAAGGAAACTGTTTACCATGCACTAAGACAGTTCAACACAAACCAGGATATGTGTGTACTCTCACCACCAAGAGTCTAAGATACAATCACTATTACTTTATTTCTGCTCAAATCACTTGAAAAAGCAGGAAACCCAAGGCCCACATGAATCCGCATGACCCCTCTTAACAAGTCAGGTCAAGGGCCCTTCCTGTGCGAAGGACCATCCCTGGGGTGCATGGCTTGGTGGGGGGCACACAGGCTAGATTTCAGCCTTTCGCCCTCTCACGCAAGCTTCTCGAATGCAGGACACCCCCACCACTGCCAACGGCACCCATGGGGGAGCCCCTTCCTCCTCCTGGAGCTCAGCACCCCCTGGAAACCAAGTCGTCCTCACCCACAGCCTCCCCCTGCCGTCCTGCAGAGCACGGGGTCCCCACGAGGTCAAGCAGCCTCTCCCACGACCACATCCTCCCCTCCCCACCCACACATCAGCGAAACCGTAGAAAGGGAGGAGGTCAGGACACAAGTGGACCCTCCCTCAACACGGATACCAAGAAAAGCTGCAACGCCTTACAACCATGGCTTGTCCCTGACTTCACGCCCAAATTTTCTAGCTCTGTACAAGTAGCACAGCCTGGCCTGCAACTGCCTCCACGTATGCTAAAACCTGCTCCCCTTCCCCTGCTTTAAATCTCTAAAAGAGAGGAAGAGACGATTCTCAGCGTGCACATATAACCTCTCCCTAGGAGTCAAATCAACCCCTCCGGAATTACCAGGGTCCCTGAGATGCCTGTGAACCCCGACGTCCCTCCTTCCCCACCCCCACTCCTGCTCCCATCCCCACCACCAGGGCCTGGGCCATGGGTGACCCCCTGGCCAGTCTCCCACTGGGGGTGGGGGCCCACTCTCCATGCCACCCGCGCTTTACCGCCAGAGCGTTCCTCTGACACCCATCTACCTAGTCACTCCTCAGACACAGGGAGGTCTATGGGCCTGTGAGAGCCTTTGGAAATTTTATTTTTTTTCCTAAGACATCAAACAGCCACAGGTGCCCGATGGACCTTGAAGAGGAAGCCATAGCCTCCTTTCCAGCCCCACCGCCCCCAGCTCCCCTGCCCTTGGCTTCCACGCCCCCACCCCGCCCCGTGCCCACCGTATGCACTTGCACTCAGGGTGTTTCCTCACTGACCTGTCCTCCCCTTCTCCTCATTCATCCCTCCCTCCTAAGCGGTTCACATCCTCCCTGTAGGATGGGCTTCCCCAGGACTGGAGGTTAGAACCATGTTACCGCCATCCACTGTCCACAGCATTGCCTGGGCCGCTACGGTAGACGGGGCCATGTTGCCTGGGTGGCACAACCTCCCTTCCGAACAGCACTCCAACCCCCTTGGTGGAAGAAGCGCTTGCCCCCCATGGGAAGATGGGGGACAGCGCCTCCCTCCCCCAGCACAGCCATCCAGAAAACAGGTACTGACACCCTCTCCCTCCCAGACTCTGAAGCCTGGTGTGTCACCGGATCTAGCGTGGCCCAGCCCTCCAGAGGTTCCTGGGTGCCCGCCTGTTTTCCGCCCTTGCTCCTCCAACCCCAACCCTCACTCCTTCAGTTCTGTGGGCCTATCACGGCCTTTCAAAATGTGCATATATATATTTGGATCCGATACCTTGACTCAGTTCACGTTGCCTACAATGGGGCCCCCGAGCCTGACCTTGTACTCTTCCCTGCGTGCTGGTCTCACCTCCCCATTTGCATTGAGAGTTCCCCGAGAGTAGCAACTGTGTATTTCTTTACTCTCCCATCAGACCCAATCCAAAAAAGCCTCCACATATTGATCAATTTATGGAGTGGGCATGTCGACAACTTACAGCTAGGAAGCAGCAATGTGCACGTCCACAAGGGTTTCAATGCAAAGATCAGTACGAATTCCAAAGGAAGGCCAAAAGAGGAAACTCACTTCCTTATCTCGAAGGGAAAAAATTAACCAGGGATTATCTATTTATAGAGAAAACGATTACACCAGTTTGTCTCACTGGCTAAATGCAGAGATGTGAAAGACAGACACGAGGCAACGCCCGGTGCCCACGCATGGTAGCTGCTCAATATGTTTTACTGTGCTAAATGCAAGACATGCCTTGCCCAAGAAGTTCAGAAGAAACTCATTGGATCAGCTCCGTCCAAAATATCTTCCAGAAAGCTCCCCCTGACAACAAAACTAGTTGCTAAGCAAGAAATAACTCAGAACCAGAATCTCATGGAGACAAAACTTTGTGCTAAGAAACTCTGGCTGAAGCCATTCTACAAAACTCAACATACTTGTCCTGAAGGGTATGTTCTCAGGGCGCCCTTCTGTGCCATCTGCTGCTTGAGAATAAACAACGGCCTCATACTGAGTGCCAGGCTTTAGCCCGGCGAGCAGGACGTGCGTGTCTTGGGACTGCTGGCCAGAGGACGGGTCCGCACGCCCGGGGAGGCTCTCGTCACGCACAGGGGCACCGGGGCCGCCGCACGGCTGGGGCCAGCTCTCCGCCAGGCCTCTCTCTGTGCTGTTGGCATCTGTGTCGAGCACAAGAAGCAAAGACATTAGCCACAAGAGAACAACATTCCCCCCATCTTCTTTTAGCACCCCACCCCACGCGATGATACATCACACAGTGCCCACAGCTGTCGCTCCATAAATATCCATAAATATCCATTCTCTTCCTTCTCCAGAGACAGACACAGCCCCCTGAAGAGGCCCTCACATTTCGCTTTGGATTGTTTAATTCTACTGGCACCATGGATATTTGGTGCTTCTCATTCAAACTCTGCTATTCCGGATCATTCTCCCTTCGTTGGGACATTATCTTCTCCAGTGCCAACATGGCTTTGCTAATCGGAGCCCACTCAAGCGATGTTTCCCCCGGACCAGCCCCTGGCTGCTAGGGGGCTGCAGGGTGTGAACAGGGGAGCAGCTGGGGCCACCCCTGCTTGAACTGAGCAGAAGGAACCACTGCGAGAGAGAGAAGCTGATCAACAGGAAGAAGCCAGAGGAAGAGATGAGAACTGCCCCATCTCTCTCTTCAGGGCCTCGCTGTAGCAGGGAAATACACGTGAGCCAATACATTGCTCTTGTCGTCTGAGCTACTTAAGGTCTGGCTTATGTCACTTGCAGGCAGGAATCCTAATAGCCGATTTGTAGCTCTGTTTCTTAGGTATAAAATGGGGAGTAAGTGCCTGTCCTCCTCAGTTTACAGATTACAGCAGGCATCCACTGAAAATGCCGTAAAACCTGCAACTACTACTCTACTCCAAGGTCAATGCAGAAGACGTCTGCCAGATCTGCCTGCCAAGCATCCCTTTCCTCAAGCTCCTCCAAAGGCCCAACCTGGGTTAACACACCTGCTATTTGTTCCACAGAAAGATCTAAAGCTAAAGCGGCATCTACTTTCCCGGATGCCAGATTCCAAAACGTTTCAGTCCCCCTTGCCATTCTAAGCCCCCGTGTGTTCACCTGCAAAATAACCACAGCCTTCCTTCCCTCCTCATTCACACGTAGACTCAATCTAGATGTGGAGGAGAAGCCCTCTATACATTCTAAAACTCTAGAGAGATCTAAGAATGATATTTTCAAAAAGTATTAATTTCTTGACAGTCAAATCCAGCGAGGGAGATGGGAGGTACGCTTTTGTAACTCACCCAAGCCCCTTTCTATAGGCAGGGCGTGTCTCTGTGTCTCATTCGATTCTGGAAGATCCACGGTGATGTTGTATTGACCCCCTGGCTTCAGGCATGAAATGTTGACTGCTGAGTGCCGAGTCAATTCCTCTCGGCCTTTAAGAAGCAGCCGGCAGGAGGCAGTGCCATTGTCATTGCTCCAGGAAAGGCCAACCTTCCTCGTGCCAACGAAGGTAACGCGAAGACCAGAAACTGGACTAGGCTCTGTTTTAAAAACACACGGTGGGCGTTAATGGACAAGATATTTGCAGTCGCCTTTCATTAGGAATAACTGGAGCCACCCATGTCTCAACGTGACCCACTCAAAATACTTCCTTTACCCAAAGCATTTCCATCATTTCACAGTGGGGGAAAAAAACATCACAAGGCAGAAAAGAGGGGAAGGAATAAACCTTGAAACCAAAATTCTTTAGGATCTGCACTATTCTCCAAGATCAACCCCAGCAGTGATTTGAAATTCTTCTAAATTGGCCCCTTTTAAACAGTATCATTTAATTATATCTGATTTAGACGTCAGGAACAAAGCATCAAATAAAGTGATTGCCTGATAAGTCTAAAGGTCTCAATTCAAAATAATGCAAATAATATCATTTTCCAGTATCAACACATTTCAAATAAGGAGCACAGCCCTGTCTTCCAACCCCAAGGGGATTTTTCAGAAGACTTTCCATCTGTACTACACCCCAGTCCTTCCTTCCATCATCACCTTACATGGTTGACAGTGACACAAATCAAACCACCTCGACCAAAACAATGTCCACTCCCTCCAGGTCTGAGATGAGCATGTGGAGACCAGAGAGGCAGGCGGCTTGCTCAGGACACTCACTACTGGTGGCAGTGAGGAACCAGAGCCCAGGGCTCCAGCCTGAAGTGCTTATGAGCACAGGCAGTGTTACCGGCAGAGCAAAAACCCTGCCCGAGGGCTGCGGGTGGCTGACGGCAAAGACACTGGGCCCTGGGTGAGTCTAAGGCACCGTCCGGCACTGAAACAACGTGATCCACTCTGGGACTGAGTTCCTTGCAGCAACTGTCTCTCATGCAAAGATTTCTAAATCAGGTCCCTTGTGTCTTTTTGCTCTTTTTTTAAAAGAAATGCTGACACCCAGAAGCCTGCCGGCCCGGTGACCGCAACAACCGTGACGAGCATCATTCTGCCATAGTGGTCTGGAGTTGGCTCCCTGGGCTCTGGTCCCACCACCTGATGCTCAATGCTCTGAGATGGCAAAAGAAACTTAACTTCTCCATGTTACAGGTTCTTCAGCTACAGCCTCAGGGTTACTGTGAGGACAAAAATAATGTCTTAAGGACAGCGAAGCGCACGTACGTGCTCAATACCCAGTATCTGTCAACCTGCTCTGGCACTGCTCTGTGCTCAGGCTTTGGGGTGGACAAGGACACCCAGCTCCTTTGCCAGGTTCACCCTGCCACCGCACCACCTCCTCTGTGTCACCCTGTCCCCATCACCATCTCCAAATCCCGCATTTTTCCTCGTTAATTCTTCTATCGTCTCTCTGCCTTCTCCTTCTTTTCCTCTCTCTTTCACAATGTAACGTAACAAACCTTCATTGTATTTTTTTTTCTTTTACCCCCTAAAAGTGTGCTCTGAGGAGCTCCAGGAGTTTTGGGAAGGTGCCTGTGACACCCATCTCCGTGGCTTCTCTCTCTCTCCAGTTCTTTTTATTTTTACTTATTGGGTCTTCCGGGCAAGATTTTGTTTAAAGAGTTTTCCTGACTAAAAAAAAAATGTTGAAAGCCACTGGTTTCATGTTTGATGCTCCACGTCCAGAGGCTTGTTATGCTAGACCTCACTCCTTTCAATGATCTCTCTCTCTCTCTCTCTCTCTCTCTCACACACACACACACACACACACACACAAACACGCCAAAATCAGAAAACAGAGGACCCCCCTTTTGTTTTTTCCAATTTTTGGTTCTCCTCACCTTAAAAAGAGCTTCTCACTTGTTTGTTTCATTTTTAAATCTGTGGCTCTTTTCAGCTTACAGAAAAAGAGCTTAGGTTTGCAGCTATAACAGATGGCTTAGGTTATTGACATCTAAGCTAAATCAAAATCTCAGCTGCCCAATCTTAATTAAAATCTAAATGACACCAAACTCTTATCTCATCTGAGGCACACGCTCCTCTATAAAGTCTACCAAACTTCCCTGCCCAACAGAAACTCCTGGGAATGTACACACGGCATCATTTTTCTGGGGACTTAAAAGGCGGGTAATGACCACCCAGATGCATTTCTAATGAGGTCTCTTCTCCTGAGCCTTAGCAGAAAAGGAGGTATTAATCAATAATAACAAAAGATTTTTTTAAAACCAAACAGAAGTAGTTAGAATTTCCAAAACCACACAAGACCTTATTACTGCATGATCTGGCCACCTGAACTCCTGGGCTTGAAACAACACAGCACCTTGTCTCCTCTAGTTTATGAAAACCAACCTCTTTCCTACAGGCAACTTGAACGGACAGGGCTCCGGGATACAGGGTAAGAAGGAATGGCTCATGATTGTCCCTGGGATCCAGTCATCTTACCTGTTGTGACGTTTATGGCCTTGGGATCTCCCCAAGTCCCATTGCCTATTCCTGGAGTGATGGAGAACGTATATGAGGTCGCTGGACTTAGGCCTGTGATGGTAACCCTCGTCTGATTCACCAGCCAATGTTCCATCTCATTCGTTACGTTATACGTGTACTCAGAAGCATCTGTGTCACTGTTTTTCCAGGTTAGGGTCACATTTGTTGGACCGATGGAAACAGCTTCAATATCCAATACAGGACTGGGTTCTATTTAAATATTGTTTTTGGAAAAAGAAAGAAAGAAAGAAAGATTACATTTAAAAAAGGAATGTAAAAGCAAAGCCTTCTCTGTTTATCTACTTTCCAGGGTAAGTTTTATAATCACAGTTTCATTTCTCTTTGCTTGCCTCTAGACTTCCCCAACAGAATTTAGTTAAATCCTTATACATACAAGCATGTGTATGTGCTGGTGAAACGGGCCTAAGAATGAGGGAAACCTGATAAAGTTGGTCACGTCGATGTCACTGGAACATGGGGTTCAATCTGTATAGAAGCTGATATCAGCCGGGCACGGTGGCTCACGCCTGTAATCCTAGCACTCTGGGAGACCGAGGCGGGCGGATTGCTCGAGGTCAGGAGTTCAAAACCAGCCTGAGAAAGAGCAAGACCCCGTCTCTACTATAAATAGAAAGAAATTAATTGGCCAACTGAAAATATATACAAAAAATTGCGCGGGCATGGTCGGGGCGCATGCCTGTAGTCCCAGCTACTCGGGAGGCTGAGGCAGTAGGATCACTTGAGCCCAGGAGTTAGAGGTTGCTGTGAGCTAGGCTGACACCACGGTACTCACTCTAGCCTGGGCAACAGAGTGAGACTCTGTCTCAAAAAAAAAAAAAAAAAAAAAAAATCCTGTATAGAAGCTGATGTCAAAAGAGACCTGGGAGACACAGTGAGTCCACCTCCCCGTTCTCAGAAAACACTGCATGCATGGAGAGAGATGTTCTATGACACAGAAACCCGTGACAACTTTTTTGCCAAACCCTGATGTCAGAAGGAAACGCAGCAGGTTTCTGACATGAAATGGCAGGGGCAGAACAGTGTGAGGAAAAAAGAACCAGTCTTGGGATGTAGACGTGGACTTGAAGACCTGCTCCACCCGTTTCCTATACGACCTGGAATTAGTTTCTTAAAACTTCTCTCGGTCTCAGGTTCCTCTGTGCACAGCTCTAACACACCTCACTAAACTGACTGAACCGCTATGATGGGATGAACAAGGTCACTGGACCTCACTAAACTGACTGAACCGCTATGATGGGATGAACAAGGTCACTGGACCTCACTAAACTGACTGAACCGCTATGATGGGATGAACAAGGTCACTGGACCTCACTACTGACTGAACCGCTATGATGGGATGAACAAGGTCACTGGACCTCACTAAACTGACTGAACCGCTATGATGGGATGAACAAGGTCACTGGACCTCACTAAACTGACTGAACCGCTATGATGGGATGAACAAGATCACTGGACCTCACTAAACTGGACTGAACCCGCCTATGATGCGGAATGAACAAGGATCACTAGGGACCTCACTAAACTGACTGAACCGCTATGATAGGATGAACAAGGTCACTGGATTTGGACATTACAAATCTGAATTCAGAGTCCAATGCTGCTAGAAACCCGCCATGTAGTTTTACTCAAAGTCATTTCACCACTCTGAACCTCAGTTTCTTATTCTATAAAATTATAGATGTACAGGGGTCTAACCAGGGAAGCCATCGGCCTGATATTAACAGCTGAAAACTACCAAATGGAAGCATCCTAATTAAAATCAAGAAAGAGGAGTAAAAACCAGAAACAGAAAAGTAAAACACAGATGAAAAGGCCCTTCTTCTCAATGAGCTTGTGACTGACCCCCAAAGAGTAAAGACAATACAGGTAACACCATCTCAGATCGCTCATGGACAGGGTGCCTTTCTTGGCCCAAGGGCGATGCAAACATTTATCCAGTCAATGAAAAAGGGCAGGAGAAGCAGCCAGAGAAGAGAAAATAGAACAAGCAAGGGAAGAATCCCGTAGCCACATTTCAATAAACTTCGTGCCAGGAAGCCCCTCCAGACCTGAGTTTCCTCTTTATAAAATGACAAGTCTGAAGTGTCAGAGGAGCATTTTTGGCAGGTTGTCACTGTGCTGCCATTTACAAGCAATGACAACAATGAGGAGGAGGATAGAGACAGACAACAGCCACAGTGGCGGAGGATGCAGGATCAGCAGCCCTGCCCAGGCCTGACCATGTCCCAGACACCGCCAGGTGCCAGGCAGCATTTCCTCGTTTAGGCCTCACAATGACTTCACGAGCAAAGCTGCGAGGCCCTTTCAAAGACAGAGAAATGCGTTAAGAACTCAATTTTGTGGATTCATACAGGGGTTCTGGAAAGGTTTTGGAAAAGCGGGTTCTTAAGCTTCAAAAGTTCAGAGAAGAAAGCACATTTCAAAATATTTTTAAATATACATATATCAAGCTTAATCATTTTCTTAAACAAAAAAAAATAAATAAATAAATAAATATACATATACATTAATAAAGATGATGAAAGTGGAGCCCAACAGGAGCCATGACTTGCCCAAGGTTACACAGCTAGAAACTGGCAGACTCAGGAAGCAAACCCGAGTCTCCCTGATTCTGAGTCTGTGGTCTTCGTTGCTCTGCCATCACCATATGTGAAGGCAGAAAGGAGAGGCCAGGTACGGTGGCTCACGCCTGTAATCCTACCACTCTGGGAGGCTGAGGCGGGAGGATCGCTTGAGCTCAGGAGTTCGAGACCAGCCTGAGCAAGAGCGAGACCCCATCTCTACTCAAAATAGAAAATTTAGCCAGGCGTGGTGGCACATGCCTGTGGTCACAGCTACATGGGATCCTGAAACAGAAGGATTGCCTGAGCCCAGGAGTTTGAGGTTGCTGTGAGCTATGATGACACCAATGCACTCTATCCAGGGTGACAGAGCGAAACTCTGTTTCAAAAAAAAAAAAAGACAGAAAGGAGAGTGTCAGAGCAGCTCTCAGAGGAACCAGGTATCCCTCAACCCAAGCACCAGGACCAAGAATGGGGAGAAGAAAGATACATGACATAGTCACTTTTTAATATTGATGAAGTGATTTCAAACACACTACCGATATGATAATGTCTAAATACATTCTCCAAAGCCCACAAACCAAACCGAAAGAAAACTCTTGCTCACTTGTTTGCACTTGTTCACAGCAGGTACTGGAGCCATTTGAAAAGCTGAAAAGATAGCGTGTCCCAGGCAGGAGCTCCCTAAATGAAACAGTCCTGTTGGAGGCAGGTGGGGAACTCTGGTGAATGATGTGGCCGCTCAAATCAGTTACATTTACTACTGAAAAGTCTTCTGGCACATTACTGAAGTGAATCTCAGTGGCTGAAGAACTGAACTCAAGTGAACCACAGCTGAAGCCTAAAATGCAGGAAAGAAAAAAAAAAAAAACCCACAAACTAATAAAATGGCACCTCCCACCACACATTTGCCATACAACAGATTATTATAATTTTTAAAACTGATTATATAGTTCTCTCATCTCCCTGATTTAAAATATCATATCTGCGGGTAGAAGTTTTCTTCCTGCACACAAGTGATTCAAGCCTGCACAAGGTACCTATCAGCTTATTTACCAAACTGATTAACGGAAAGAAAACAGCTGTAGAACGCACCCCACTGTCTGCACAGGCTTTGTGTAATTACCGCTATTAGCTGAGATGTGCTTTTATTAGGTTTCAGCAAGATCCGCCCCCTTGTATGCACAGGAAACAACAATTATTTTACCGAGTTCAACTGATTTGTACGCAATCAGAAAAAAAGTCCCAAATGGAGCAAACAAAAGCTATATAGCCAATTTCCCAAAAGAACAGTGTTTAAACATTACAATTTATTTAATGGAATGTTTATGACCAAAAAAGTAGGCATAATCCTGAAGTGATCTTTCACGAATCATTTACTTCCTTAAAACACTACCATAGTGTGTCCTTTATTTGCATTTAAGTAGAATAGAATGGACAACACCCCTCAGCCATGACCAGCCCCCTACGAAGAAAAAGACCAGAGGCTACCAGCTGGTTCCAAAATATAGCAAACCCCTTCACCATTGAATTCCAATAGCAACACAAGGCAGTGTACAACACAAGAAAACGTATCGGGATAACATCCATGCAAATATATAAAATCATAACGCTTGAGTCAAATAAGTTAAATCAACATGGTATAAAAAAAAGTGCAAGAAAATATAAGAGTTTATGCCCAGCGCACAATAACCCAATTTTCTCAATTGTTTTTTCCAAATCTCACCCTACTTCAAAAGATAAGGAAACTAAGTAGGTTGTAAAGAACAGCATGTGTGGATTCCGTTGACAGTTGCGCAAATGTTCCGTGTCCATTAGGCATACGAACACACAAGCAGGATAGGAAGCGACTCCAGTCACCGCGCACACACGTAACGAAAAAAGAAAACGGAAGGCACAGATTCATCACAGCAGAAAAGCAATCAGAAAAGAACATGGAGTCACAATAATGGAGGGAGTAAAAAAAAAAAACACATTAAGCAAAGGCCTGCTGGCCAGGGTTAGGGTGTCTTGGGACATTAAACGCAGGGACTCAGTGAAACCACGGGTCAATTACAGACAAAAGAGTAACCGGTTACGTGGAGGCCAAGCAGCTGTGACTACCCATGCCCCCCACTGGGGCAACTCCCCGGGTCAGCACCTCCCCCCAGCCACCACCTCCCCCCAGCCACTGCATGGCGAACCGAGGCAGAAGGACACAGAAGCAGAGTCGAGACTGTCAGAGCCAGAACCAAAGGAAACCAGGACCGGCAGGACCCTTCTCCAGAGCCATCTGCAGGTTGTGACTGCAGGCTGGAAAGCCAGAGGCATGGCAGAAGAAACCAGGGGGATTGTCAGTGCACAAAAATTCACCTTCTCCTTTCTACCAGTAGGTGGCAGTATTTTTTAAATCATATGGCAAGCAGTTTGGGGAGGAACGAATTCAAACATTCCGTTTGAATTGAGGCCTCAAAGATCTAGCTGACAGTGTCTCAATCTTCAGTCTTTAGATCCCTGGGGAGTCCTTGAGAATATTCATTGTGATCCACAAATTATTTCCCCATACTTTAAAGGCCTAAACTAATTCAAGATTGTACATTTCTATTGTTTCCATAAACACACCTTCTTGGTGAATGGGATTTTTCAAATTACAGTCCTCAATAAAATAACCCAAAAGGACCTTGGTGGAAAAAAAAAACCGTCCTCCAACCTCCCATCACACTTGGAATAAAATTCAAACTCTTAACCACAGCCCGCCTGGCCCCTCTGGTCTCACTGACTCTTCCTGTTCTCAAAGGCGGTTGGTTGTCCCTTAATGCCTTTACCTATTTATTCTCTCCTCCAAAAGCACTCTGCCCAGATCTTCCCATGGCCTGGCAAAAAATGCCACCTCCTCAGCAAGTCCTTCTCTAAGCAGCCATGGAAATCAATGCCCCTCTCTCCACCACACTGCCTCCTCCACGCATGCACCATGAGAACAGAGCCCTGTGCCTAGGATGGTACACACAGCAGGAGCTCAGTAAATGCTCCAGGAAGGAGAGAATGAGCCCAGAGAAGAGAAAAAGACTTGCCCCAAGTTCCCCCGTTCTCAAGCTTTCCCTTCTCCCCACCCCACACTGCCTTCAAGCTCTCGGCATCTCAGGCCTGCACTTGATCAGTGCACCTCCCTGCCTCCAGCCCCTGCCCCTCGGTCTATGCTGAGCCTCAATCCACATACATGGTCTATGATGGATTCACAGGAGTTAGGAAAAGACAAAAGGAGCCCATGGCTGCACAAGTCGTACAGGGCAGCAAACATTTTTTTGCCCGGTAGTTGGAAAAGTTAAGGTACATAAGCTTGAGACTCTAGGATGGCAGGTCTAGCCCCTTCCAATGCTACTACACCTTGGCATGTGCCTCTGTGTGTTTGTTGTCTCCTCAGCTGAAACCCACTCACAGTCATTCATCCGAGTATCATAACTATCTAGAGATCCTGTCCTCAAGCTGTTTACAGGAAAGTAAGGAAATAAGACAGGTCTATAAATGAGTAATTCAAAGTAGAAAGCACTGACAACTCAAAACAAGCAATTCTCGAGCACCTGCATGGGTCGAGCACTGTGCTAACATGCTAGGCAGAGCTAAAGCAGAGGCCTCCACGTCACTGGAAAGAGGACAGTGTATGACCAAACCACGGAGGACAGGTGAATGGTACTCCAGGTGGAGGAGCCACTGCTAAGGGAAGTCAGAAGAGGGCACACATGAAGGCAAAGAGTGTCTACAAATGTTTGATCTGTGTCCCTTACAGTCACAGACTAGATAAACATTGATAGGCTGATGATTCTTAACAAGAGACAACGGGCCAAAGAGCTCTGAGTTCTAGAGAAAAAAGTACAAAGCTCTCATCCTGGAGAAAAAGGCAAGTTTCTGGGAGATTAAAATCACAGTATTTTATTAATAATTTGAGTATGTATGCTCCATGCATTTAATCAAATACACACAGAGTGCTAACTGCAGGACACTGTTCAAATATTAACACACTTCGTCCTCCAAACAACCCTAAAAGGTGGGCACAGGTCACAAATGGCTGGTAAGCGGCAGTACCTGGACTGGAACCCAGGTACTCAGACTCCAGAATCCATATACTTCACCACTAGCTATGCACCTCCCAACATAAAAGCAGGTGCTGAGAAATGTACTAGGATTTGGGGAAGATTTAAAAATTAATTCCAAAAGACACTATCAGCATGCTCCCTTCTCTCTACCCTCCAAAAAATCCAGCAAGCAGAAATAAAAGAGCTCCTTGACAGACACAGGTAAGGTTTCTCCTTGCAACCCTTTCAAAGGCCCTAGGTGCTTATGCAAACACGCCAACCTGTATCTCTTCGAGGCACACCAGGAAGCCATGGCCAATGCAAAACCATGCTGTGTCACATGACTTCATGTCTTTCCTGGCCTTGCTCACCCCCTTTTTTCCCCTCATCCTCACCTCCCTGGGCCTGGCATCCCAATGTGTCAGCACTTGCCTGAGAACTCAAGGAACCTAAAGGAACCAGACAAAAACACTGGGAAAGAGGACGTAAGAGTCTGCAAGGGTGGCCGGGCGCAGTGGCTCACGCCTGTAATCCTAGCTCTCTGGGAGGCCGAGGCGGGCGGATTGCTCAAGGTCAGGAGTTCGAAACCAGCCTGAGCAAAAAGCGAGTCTCTACTAGAAATAGAAATAAGTCTCTACTAGAGAGTCTCTACTCTAAGTCTCTACTAGAAATAGAAATAAATTAACTGGCCAACTAATATATATAGAAAAAATTAGCGGGGCATGTGGCGCATGCCTGCAATCCCAGCTACTCGGGAGGCTGAGGCAGAAGGATCACTCGAGCCCAGGAGTTTGAGGTTGCTGTGAGCTAGGCTGACGCCACGGCACTCACTCTAGCCTAGGCAACAAAGTGAGACTCTGTCTCAAAAAAAAAAAAAGAGTCTGCAAGGGTGATCCTGGGGAAGAGCTCCCTCACTAATAAAAAGGGATGCACAGGAAAAAATATTGCCCTGCTTTAGTGGACTTCATATGGTCTGCCTGTGATGCCTGGAGCTGCTGCAGCCACTCTGTAACAAAGAGGAGAGAAACACCCATTTGCTAAAGATAGCTGAGGGGAAAGAGAGAAAACACCTAGATCCTTAAGCTACTAAATTAACCAACTCTAAACCCTTCTGCTTCCAGACTTCTTGCCTGGGGAGACAAAACGCCCCTTTACTATTTAACTATACTCATGTGCCACATGTGGTCAATGGACCACAAATACAACAGCTATCCCATCGATATAATGGAGCTGAAAAATTCCTGCTGCCTAGTGACGTCACAGCACAACACATTAGCTTTTATCTGTTTAGATATTAGTATGTTTAGATACAGAAATATTTACCATCGTGTTGCAACTGCCTGCAGTACTCAGTACAGTAACATGCTGTACAGGTGTGTAACTTAGGAGTAATAGGGCTATACCATATTGCCTAGGTGTGGCATAGGCTACCCCATCTAGGTTTGTATACATATACTCTATGATGTTTACACAAGGATGAAATCGCCTAATGATGCATTTCTCAGAGTGTATCCCCATCCTTAAGCAACACATGACTGTACTTGGGGTTGTCTATTATTTGTATAAAAAAAAAAAAAAAGGCAAGGTAAGGTTTCTCCTTGCTGTTGTCAACAGCAACAACAAAGCAAAGTACCAAATTTTCACATTAAAAGAATACAGTTGACCCTGAACAACACAGGTTTAAACTGTGTGGATCCACTTATACAGGGACTTTCTTCCACCTCTTCAACTCCTGAGACAGCAAGACCAACCCCTCTTCTTCTTCCTCCTCCTCCTCCTCCTCCACGTGAAGACAACAAAGATGAAGACCTTTATCATGATCCATTTTCACTTAAGGAACAGTAAATATACTTCCTCTTCCTTATGATTTTCTTAATAACATTTTCTTTTCTCTAGCTTACTTTATTGTAAGAATATAGGATATAGGCTGGGCGCGGTGGCTCATGCCTGTAATCCTAGCTCTCTGGGAGGCCGAGACGGGCAGATTGTTCAAGGTCAGGAGTTCAAAACCAGCCTGAGCAAAAAGCGAGTCTCTACTAGAAATAGAAATAAGTCTTTACTAGAAATAGAAATAAATTAAATGGCCAACTAATATATATAGAAAAAATTAGCGGGGCATGTGGTGCATGCC